TATTGATTTTGTCTGATTGCGCTGTGATCTGATAATACTCAATGGTAAAGTTTTGATTGTTTTGAATTTACTTAATTGTACTTTATTAGTTGATATGTGGTCTACTTTGAAGAAGGTACCATGTACAACCAAAATGGATGTATATTCTGTTGTTTTTGCATGGAACACTCTATATAAATCTATAAAGTCCATCTGTTCAAAGATTTAGTTGAACTCTGATATTTCTTTATTGATATTTTTAGTTGGTCTGTTCGTTTGAGAGAGTGAGATATTGAGATCCCCAAATATAATTGTATTGATGTTTACCTGATCTTATATTTTCCATTAGAGTTTGGCTTGGTGTGTAAATGTTTGTAATCATCATCTCTTCTTGTTGAAGTTTCGCTAACCAGTATATAATGTCCTTCTGTGCCTCTTTTGACCAGTTTTGGCTTGAAATCTGAAAATAGGACTGCTACTCCTACTTGTTTTCAGGTTCCCATTGCATCCTTCAATTTTTATTCTCTGAAAGTCTTTTTTGTGTCAAATGTTTTTGTTGTATATAATCTGTGTCTTTTGATTGGTGAATTGAACCTATTTACATTGATAGTTGTAATTGATAGGTATTGACTGATTTTATTAATTTTATTAATTTTCTGTTGCTGTTTTGCTTTCTTTTCCTTCTACTTCACCACTAACACTACCTGGTGCCTTCATTTTATTGGATCTTCAGTCTTGTTGGCTTCATCATCCCATTCTAGGATAATTCTTGAGAATTTTTTGGAGTGTTGGAGTGGTGGTCATGAAGTTTTTAGGTTTTCTTTGTCATGGAGATGTCTTCTCTCTCCAGCAATTTTGAAAGATAATTTTGCAGACTGTAACTTAACAGTCTGGGTTGGAAGCTGTCTTCTCTAAGAGTTTGAAAAAATAACTAATACCAACTCCCACTCTTCCCTATGCTGGGCCTTCATGTTTTACACCCTTTCTTTATCTCCACTAGTTACTTATTAGTGTCCCCTCTAGACTTGCTGATCATTTGTTTCATAAGGTCATTATCTGATTGGTTATATCCTCTTTAAATTTTCCAAGTTCTTTATTGAACTATTTTACCTCCAGTGATACCTTTTGGTCCTATCTGCTGTGTTGCTTATGATTTTTCTCCCTCAAAGCCCCCTGAATTTTTGTGAAGGAGTTGAAAGTTTTTGTAGGCATTTTGTTGCCTTGTCATTTTGTGCTTCTTGTGTGTGTGTGTGTGTGTGTGTGTGTGTGTGTGTGTGTGTACGCACGTGCTGGGGTTTGCAAGTTCTTCGGCCCAGTGTGGTGTTGTTCTGTGAGAGTGAGCCACAGTATTGTTCACGACCCCCAGTCCATCTGGATATTGGCATAGAGAGAAAACCAGTTGCCAGCCACTACTATATCACCTTGGGCTGTATCAGTAAATTCAGCCACAACAGTAGCATCAAATGTCAACTGGTTATTGACAAACCCTAGGAAATATGTACAGCCCTGTCTGAGTTACTTTTCTCATTGCCGAGACAAAATACCTGACACCCAAAATTAAAGGAGGAGAGTTTTACTTTGGCTCACAGTTTGTAGAGGTTTCAGTCCATAGTCAGCTGGCTCCAAAGCAGGGCAGTATGGCAGAGGGGATCTCAGAGGAGAAATTGTCCATGGCAGGGCAGGGCAGGCAGAAGGCAGCAAGCAGCAACAGAAGCAGCCATCCACTACTCCCTTTTATCTCTTCTGGGCTACCCAGTTTTTGAGTGGCGCCACTCACACCCAAGTAGGGCTTTCCCATCATACACACCCAGAACTGTGCTAAATCAGTGAACTAATTTAGTAATCACACCATTAACCCCAGCACCACACACTCCATATCCAGCCACCTCCACAAATGACTGCAAGAGGCTTTGAGTGGATATGTAGGTACAACACGTAAAAAGCCCTTAACCAAACAAAGAGGGCTGTTATTTGGAGTGAAGATAGATAGCCCCCCCATATTGACCTATAGTAATTCAGACCACTCATTTCTGCTTGATGTAGGCATCAGTGCCAGAGTACAAACATATCACTAAACTAAATGCTTTTTTGAGGATTGCCCACTCTGATGATTGCTCCCACAGAACCTTGCCTCCCACAACAGAAAAAAGCCTCATGATTTCTGGTCTGATCCCAGGCTTCCCAGGGGATCCCAGCAGATGCCTATTTAGCTTTCATCCTCCCCAAGCCTTTCTCCTAAGATTGTCTCTCAACCTGTCTCTGTAGTAGGATATTGCTAGGGTCCTGAGGTGAGACTCTCCATCTGGATGTTGTTCTCTTCTTTGATCAAGTTGGTCTGTTGTCACCTCTGTTGCCCTGTGCTGTGGAAAACCCAGGGTATGGAAGCAGGGCACATGGTTCTAGGTCCTCCTGGCTGGGCATGGGGCAGGAGGGCATTGGCACTGTCTGGGGCGGGCGTTTTGGTTGTCCGCAGAACTCCATTCCTATTCCTGCAGGGCCAGGTCCTCTACCTGCCAATGGCTGGGCTCTCTCCCCAAGCCCACCTGCATCCTCACCCCTCGGGCTCTACCTTGAATCCGGCCACAGAGAATTTACCCATGTCGGGTCCCTTCCACACTTGAGGCACTCTGATTCTCTGCCACTAGCGGAGGGGCACAAGGAACACGCTGCTCTTAGAGGGCTCAGCTGCAGCTCGTGGTGCTGACACATACCTGTGCTCTCAGCACTCCAAGAGGCTGAGGCAGGATGACCAAGGTGAGACCTTGTTTAAAAACAGAAGAGGAAAAGGAAGAGGGAGAAGGAGAGGGACACGGAGAAGGATATGGAGAAGAAAAGGAGGAAGGAGAAAAGGAGGAAAGGAGGAGGAGAGGAAGATGGGCTCCCTTGACAAACCATTGATAATCTTCCTTTTTCCACCCTTACCATAGTCACAGACTAAAACCAGGGACCATTGTGGAAGCCAAATAAAACTTCTGCTGGGGGCCTGGGAGTTAGCTCAGCAGTGCCTCGCCTGCCCCACAAGTGCAATGTCGTGAGTTCAATCTCCGGTAGCGCAAACAGACAAAAAACTTCTGCTCACTATGTTTTTATTATGCAAAGCACTCTTAGGAGCAAGTCAACAAAAAGTTATATCCCAGTAGAAATGTGGAAAGTGGCCAAGGAGATGGGCAGGACATTCAGCAAAGAAAAACAACTTCTGGAACTGAAACCATAAAGATAGGTTTATCGTCGCTAATAGTTAAAGGAATGGAAACTTAAAAGAATATTTGAAATACTAATCTGCTGGTTACTCAACCTGCAAAGAAGAGGGGTTGAACTCAATGCCCTTTGGAAAGTGTGTAAATACACACTCTTGCACACTTAGGCGGAGGGTGAATTAGTCCCCTTGGGCTGCTGTACAGAGTCCCATGGAAGGGACAGCCCTAAACAATTGAACTTTATTTTCTCAAAATCCTGCGGGCCGGAAGTCTGAGATCAGGGTGTCGGCAGGGCTGGCTCCCGGGACCTGTGCTCGGCTGGAGGACGGCATCTTCTCCTCTGTCCTCGAGTGGCCACCGCTCCATGTGTCTGTGCCCTCTCCTCTCTTACACTCCCTCCATCATGACCTCTCTAACCTTAGTCCCCTCTTCCAGACCTGGTGTCCATGTAGGGTATATCCCCAGACCTGGGGCCCATGGCAGACTGGCTCTGTCTCCTCACAGGGCAGCAGGCCCTTCCTGCAGGTAAGGTGTGCACACAGTTCCCTGCAGCGTAGAGGTAAAAATGCGCCTTGGGGTGGCTGGAAAACACTGGGACAGAAATGGCCCAAAAGGAATCGCAGAGGAGACAAAAGGCAGAAGCAGGAAAGAGACTGAAGAGACAGATTCCGGGGAGCTGTGCTCCTCCCTGTGCCACGCACAAGTCAGGAACAGGGAAGGGAGAACGGGAAAACTTCCGGAAGCCGCAGACCACTGTTCCCTGGAAGCTCAGCAACCCCAAGCACAAGACAGGAAAACCACTCCAGATTTATCCTAGGCAGGTTGGTTAAAGCCATGAAAAAGAGAAAATCTGGAAAGCAGCCAGGGAAGAGAGTTGAGCTCTGTACAGGGGACACCCCCACCCCTTCTCCACCTCCCCTGCCCCAGGCACCCCGCCTAGAATTTGCCCCATGCGGGATCAAGAGCATTTTCTACAGTTGGAAGCTGCAGGGTGATGTTGTTTTGTTTCAGTGTTGGTCATCAAACCCAGAGCCTTCTCACCAAGCTGTGTCCTTAGCCCTTGTTTATTTTTTATTTTGAGATGAAGTCTCACTAAGTCACTGTGTTGCTCAAACTAGTGACCCTCCTGCGTCAGCCTCTCCTAGTGTTGGAATTACAGGCATCCACCACCATCTCTGGCTTGATGTTTTGTCCTTTAAAGCACTTCTTTCAAGTTTTTTTTTTCTCTATGTTTGTTTTGTGGTGCTGATGATTAACCCTAGGGCCTTATGAAGGCTAGGAAAATGTTCCACCGGCACTTTTAAAATTTTGAGAAAAGGTCTTGCTGAATTGACCAAGCTGGCTTTGATACACCAGTCTCATGTGACTTCCACTAAAAGGAATTCAGGGCTCAGTCTCTTCAGGGAGCACTGACGAAACTCTGCTGAGCAGGATGGAAAGGCTCCCCCCTGCAGACCCCACCTGGGGCAGAGCCTTGTCCTCACTGGCCATGTCAGTGTGACTCAGCTGCCCCTATGCTCCGAGTGCTCTAGATGGTCAGAAATCCATCAAACAGACACGAGGCCTTATCCTCCCTCGGGCATTGTTCAGAGTGTGCTTAGGCCGAGGTGAGGGTGTCTCTCGTGCGTGGTAGGAGGTGGGACGGCGGGTGCGGTGGTGGACGTGGATTGCACATATTTTTTGCCTCTTTTCTCCCTCCAGTTGGACAGTGAGTCTTTGATAGCAAAGCCTGGGTCGTTGTGGTTTCAATCTGCTCCCAGTCCTGCCCCTGTGGTGACGGGAGGTCTCTGGGCTGTGGGAGACGCCGAGTGACCTCTCCCCCAGTGGTGGCCCTGCAGACCGAGATGGAGAGCCTGGCCCTGCACCTCTTCTACATGCAGAACATTGACCAGGACGTGCGTGACGACATCTGCGTGATGAAGCAGGTGGTGAAGAAAGCCGAGGTGGAGAGGACGCGGGCCGAGGTGGAGAAGAAAAAGCAGGTACTCCTCAGGCATCACTGGCCTTTGTGCCCCTGAACGCTGCCAGGGGGAGGTGGTGGCGGCAGCCGTGGTCGCGCTCCCTGGGGTCAGCGGTGGGTCCCGACGGCGCCTCTGCTCACCCTGCTTCCCAGGACCTGTACGTGGACCAGCTCACCACGCGGGCCCACCAGCTGGAAGAGAACATCTCTCTGTTGGAGGCTCAGTACATCGCCCAAGCCGAGGACACCCGGCTTTTAAGGAAAGTGGTGAGCGAGGTAAGAGCAGGCTGCAGCTGGGAGGAGTCGGTGTCCCCGCGTAGTGGTAGTGTGCGTGGACGAGTGAATGATACGGCCAGTTGTGTCCTCAGGGAAGCCCATCCCGAGTTCAGAGAGAGCCTTTCACCTTGCGCTTCTTAAGCATCTGAGGATCCCTCACCATCCCCAGTGGGGGCCAGGGCGTCCAGGAAGTTCCAGGGATTGATGGCCATGGGATGGGCTGCAGGATCCTCCCGGAAGTAAAGGATTCCACTCTTCCAGCACTTCCGGTGCCAGCTTGCTGGGGATCCTGCGCAAGTTCCTTAGCCAGCCAGGGGCTTCCTCCTCAAAGGACTGGAGTCTTCCTAGCCACTCTGCCTCATGAGCAGCCGGAATTCCTGCACAGCACCCACCTCTCCCCGCTGAGCAACAGAGTCCACTCTGGGAGGCCAACACCATGACTCACTTTTTTATCATATTGTTTTGTTTTTAAATCTTGAGTCATCATCTGATTCACATGAGTGGAAATGGCATGGAGGAAACAATAAACTTTTTTTGAAAGAAAGAAAAGAACATTTGATCAAGGGACGGCACACCAGGTCCCAGAGGAGAGGAAGGAGCGGGGACTTCATACCATAAAGCTGCCTGTGCATGCCAGCCAATCAATCTGGAATGTGTTCCAGGCAGAGCTCAGGGGGAAAAATCTCAGTTTTTAATTAACAACAGTGGTTTTTGATAGGCTGAGGATGGAGGTGCAGCTCAGTGCAGAGCACTTGCCTAATGTGCATAGGCCTCAGGTTCCATCCATAGTACCAGAGAGAAAAGAAAAGATTGAAGGATACAGTGAGTCTTGAGTTTATCTGACTAATACGTTAACAGTGCTAGTCAAGATTATTTTGGAAGGGAAGGTTCCTATAGGGCAACCAGCTGTTCCAGTTTTCCTATAGCCAAAGGGTATTTCCAAGACTGCACGCAAACCGGGGAGAGTACTGGGCAAACCCAGGATCTGGGCATCACCCTGGCATTTTTCTCCACAGTAGAAAGATATACCATAAAGCTCTAGAAGCTAAATTAACATGTTACTGGAATCGAGGATAGGCAGTCAAGCCACTGCAGCCTGGTAGAACAAGCCAAGGCTGATAGAAAATTCCACAGGTTACAGATAAGCTGAGAAAACTGTCAGAATGTGGAGTTTAGTCATTGGGGGGGATTAAATCTTTTGTTGTTGTTGTTGTTGCACTGGGGATCAAAATAGGGACCTTGTGCTTGCAAGGCAGGTGGTGGTACCACTGAGCTAAATCCCTGGCCTGGAAATTAAATCTTTTCCTCATATGAGATACTAAAATAAATTCCAGGTGGAATCAGGTATTTAGATGGGGAGAGGCGTGCCAGGAAAACTTGGATACTCGTGGATGGAAGAGAACTTTCCACATGCCACAGCAAAAGCAGAACCCACACAGAAAAGGGTCCTGCGGTGGCCTCACCATGACAAAGCCTGTAAGTCCAGGACCCTGTGATTGAAGAGGGGAGCCACCCGGAGAATGTAGGCTTGGAAGCCATAGCAAGTTTGGGGGTCCTGTCTGTGTTTTCTGTTGCTAGTAGTGCAATACCACAGACCTGGGCGTTATAAAGAAAAGGGGCAGTATCAGCTCACGGTGCCAGTCCAGAGGTCGGGACCACATGTGGTGAAGCTCTCCCGCCGGGTGAGCCTGAGGCGGTGCAGGGCATCACCTGGCCACGCTGGCTCCTGTGGGCACAGGCTCTCCATCCGTGTGTTAACCCTCCCTGAGGACAGGGCCCACCTCCTAACATCTCTCCGGGTTCAATTTCAAGTGAGTTTGGGAGGAGACGGCTACCACCCAAACTCCCCAGGGATGTGAAGAGGCTCTGAAGGCAAGACAGACAGGAGCAGGGCCCAGGTGTGACTCTGCCCTCGCTCAGCAGGGGCCCCCAGGGCCGGCCCTACCCTCCTTCCCAGCACCTCCAGCATAGATGGACCTCCGAGGTCCCCAGATGACCCAGTGAGTGGCCAGTGGGAAAGGCAGGAGGATCCCCCCAGGCCACAATGGTGAGGGCCGGAAGGAGGCCGGGACCTCCGGCACTGGCTGTCCAGGGTTCTTCAGCAAGGGCGGCATTTAATTCGCAGCACTCTCCGGAATGTCGTTATCTGGACTTCATTCCAAGAAAACAGCCCTGTGTGCATGAAAATGACATGTTTCCCATTGAAAACATTGTAAGCAAAACGAGAAGAGACTGACAGGAAAATGATGCTTGTCCACGCGTCTCATGCATTTAGAAGAGGTAGTATTAGTTCAACAAACAAGAATACTCAAGCAAAAAAGTCAACATTTAATGACATGGAAATGTGCACAGGGTGTGACCTTGTCATTCGAGGTTACAGAACTATAGAGACTAGGACGCCCCGCACACGTGCCTGCTCACACACACGCACACGCACATGCACACATATAGTGGGCGTAGAAGTCCCCTGCGTGATCTCTGAGCGGGAAGGTGGGTGTGAGTGGTGTTTGTGTCACCTTTTTGCTTGTTTGCATGTTCTAACTGCATGGAATGTACCCTTCCCTTTTTCATTTGTTTTGGTTTTGGTACTGGGGATCGAACTTGGGTCCTTGTGCTTGCAAGGCAGGCGGCGGAACCACTGAGCCAAATCCCCAGCCCCCCTCTTTCATTTTTAATGGAGACAGCGTAGTGTGATCACATCTTACCTGCACCTGGCAGCCTCAGGGAACCCCGGCAGCACAGGCCTGATGGGGAGGAGCCTGGCCGGATTCGGGCCCCCTCTGGCCAACCCGACTGGGCTTTTGCACAGTGCTCAGTGTCACAGAGCAGACTCCTCATTAATAGCTCACCCCGATACCGAAATGCCTGGCTGGCCGTAGGCTCCTCCATTCATGCCACTCTGTGCCGTGTGAGAAGTGATGAACGAATGAGTAGAGGGGTGGCTTCCAAGGCGACGCCACCTTGCTGCCCAGTGACATCCTTGTCTTCCCCGGGAATGCTCTGGCCCCAGTGACCTCGCACTGGAGAGTCCTGGAGGGCAGGTGCTCTGCACACCTCACTGGAGTCTGCCAGCAGCACTAGCGGCTTGCAGAAAGCATGCTAATTGGCCGGTCCTAGTGCCCTGCAAACCGGGGGCAGGGCTAGGCCAGGCAGCCCAGAATCAATCCATCGACCCAAAAGACACAGTGAGGACGTGCTGCCATTGTCCCCCGGTCACAGCTGGTGACTCGAGACTCCGGGGCCAAGGTGCGCGCCAGAGCATGCTGTCATCAGTGGCTTGACCTCTGTACCCCGAGAGTAAATGGACCCCCTCTGCCCTTGGAGTAAAGCCCGCAGATGCTCCCCCTTCGGGCAGGGGCTCTGCCCCACATTTACGTCAGCCTGTGTGACCTCAACCCGTGACGATGACACCCACCAAGCCCACCGAGGGGCCAGGTGTGGCGCAGGTGCTCCCTTGGTGCCAGCCAGCATCCTGCTCCTCTTCCTCCTCCTGCTCCTCCTGCTCCTCCTGCTACTCCTCCTCCCTCCTCCCTCCTCCTGCTCCTCCTGCTACTCCTCCTCCCTCC